CACAATTTAACATAAGTTTTGACACCCCCACCATCCCATCATCACACAGCATTGTGGTTTTAGGCATCAGCCTCTCTTCAAGCTTTACTGATGAACAGTTGACAGTCATGTGCACTCTCAGATGGAATAATGCTGTCACCTATGGGTTGGGTGTGGTGTTAAGACACTACTGTACACTTCCTCGATTCAATGCAGAAAAAGCCATCAAAACATATCAATCATAATATCCACACAAATAAACATCCAGCATAGCACATTCACAAGGGTACAGTATCTCATTGATTTTCCTATTCTATTTAAATTTCGACAGTTAGTATTCTGAAATGCTACACTCAATACTACAGTTCCACCACTACTACTACACATGACTCTGAAGTCCATTCTGCCCAATGTACACAAAAATTCTCTACCACAAAGTATTTTTCCTTCTGCCTTTGAGAAGGCAGAACCAGGGTGAATACATGTAGATATAACAAGTGCCTTTGCCTTACATTTGTTAGACAAAAAATAAGGTAATCTACTGTGCCAAATGAGCAAAATTTTTCCTGAATTTCCAGGACAAAATTTCTTCACAGGAAATCCCAATGTCTGACAGGTAATATTTGAAGGACTCAATGCCTAACTCTCTTACAATGTATCTTGATTATCACTTTACAGGCAACACTAAATTTATAGAAGTGTTATTCCTGAAAAGTTGTCTGTAACTCGAAATTCCATTACATAAAACCTCTTTTTCCATTGGCTTTAATTAAATAATTGGAGATGCATTCCTATGGATAACCCCCACAAAAAAGTCCTACTTATTTAATTCCTAATACACTGTACCCTTGTTAATTCAGATTGTTATACAGTACAGTACTGTAATTTGGATTTCGGCATAATTTTCTTCCCTAAAAAAATGAATTACAGTACACCAGGTATGGGAAACCTTTCCTTAGTCAAGGGCAACATTACAATTTCAGTATGTTTCTGCAGGCCAACCCACCAAAATTTATATCCTACCTAACCCAAAAGTAATGTTAATATTGTATTACAGGGAGTCCTTGTTATCCGCAGTAAATTGGGACCAGAAAAACGCCTCTGATAACGAATCCACTTGAAGCAGGGAATTAATCCCATAAGAAATACTAATGGAAATAGGTCAAATTGGGACCATGACATTGTACATTACACTCAAAATAAAATTATATATCTTTTAACAATTATTTACCTTAGAAACATTTGTTAAACATTTGATAACACATTATTTTAAGAAATAATTTAACTTTATAAGTTATCTAACGTCCTTAAAGTTCATTGGGGTCGGTGTGTTGAGGCAACGTAGGGTGTGCCAGCGACCCGGTGATCAGCAGAAACCGTTGCTGGTGCACACTCACTCCAGTGGTTCATTGAGACAAAATAATTATTATAATGTTTTACAAATAAATAATTTTATCATAATACCTGTACAATATTTTTATGTACTGTACTTAGCTTCAAAGGTAGAGAAGTTTGGCTTGATTGGATTGATGGAGGTGGGTGTTGGGGGATGGAGGATTAGTTGGAGGATGAAAAGGAAACAGGACTAGGTGGATTGTCCATTCCCACTCTTCTTTCACCTAATCATTTCTAATTTTACATCTAAACTATAGCTAGTGTGCTTCCTTTTGAGTACTCCTCCTGCCTCATCACTTCACCCCTCACCTCATCAGCTCACCTCACAGTGTTACATTTATTTATTACCGTATTATTTACTTGTGATATGGATGGAAGACCAGATCAAAAGCGTGTACCCTTAAGCCTTCTAACCCTACAGGCTAAGGCAAGAAGCCTTTTCGAAAGCCTGAAGGAGCAGCCAGGGGATGGGTGCGAGCAAACCTTCACAGCAAGTCATGGTTGGTTTAACAGATTTAAGAACTGCTACAGTTTACATAATGTAAAGGTGAGTGGAGAGGCAGCTAGTGCTGATGTGGGTGCTGCCAGGATTCAAGGCATTCAAGAACCGAATTACACTTCTGTTGGGGGGGAATGTAGCTGGTTTCAAGATAAAGCCCTTCATGATTCTATCATTCAGAGAACCCCAGGGCTTTTAAACATGTCAGCAAGCAAACACTGCCAGTGTTTTATCGAAGTAACAAGAAAGCCTGGATGACCCTAGTACTGTTTGAGGATTGGTTCATGACTTGTTTCATTCCTCGAGCCAAGGAGTATTGTCTGCAACAAGGGTTTGCATTCACCAGCCACACCTGGACGACATGCAACCTGATGTTAAGGTAGTCTACATTCCACCTAACACTACCTCTGTCATCCAACCAATGGATCAAGGTGCTATTGCAGCTTTTAAAGCTAATTATTTACGTGCGACCTTCGCTCAGGCTGTTGCTGCTACTGAAGGTGAGAAAACACTCAGAGAGTTTTGGAAGGACTACAGCATCTTGAAATGTATAAAGAACATTAGTGCAGCATGGGATGAGGTTAGAGGACAGTGCATGAATAGAATATGGAAGAAAGTCCTGAAAAGATATGTGAACAGTCTCAGAGGATTTAATGAAGATGAAGTAATTTCTGAGATTAGTAAAAAGATAGTTAGAAATTGATAATGAAGATGTTGAACAGTTGGTTGAAAGTGTAGCAGAAGAGCCAAGTAACGAGGATCTTATCGAACTGGAAGCACACAAAAATGCAGAGGAAGAAGAGAGTCTAAATGTAGAAGAAGAACCTGCACCCCCCAAAAAAATTTCAGTGAAGCAAATGGCAGAGGCATTTGCTACAACTAATAAGGGAATGCAAATGTTTGACAGAATGCATCAAAATGGTGAGGAGTTTTGCCAAAGTTGACAGAATGGTCCAAGATGCACTTGCTGCTACAGGGAGATTTATAATGAAAAGAAAAAGCAAACTGTGCAATCTAAATTGGACATCTATTTTTAGAAGTCCCCCATTGCTGCCTCCTCATGCCCTACCAGTGCTGCCTCTTCACTCTCTAAAGATGATCCAATACCTTCAACCAGCAAGTTTCCCCTGTACATAAACCTGTCTGAAGAAAGCGACATTGATGACCCACCCAGCCCTGTCTCCTCCTCTGTTTCATGCAATTAATATAGTCTCCATGTATACCTGTAAATAGAAAATTATGGGGGCCCCGTGTGCATTCAGCTGACTACATTAAAGGTAGGTGGTGTTGTGAGCCAAGGTGGGGGAGATCTGGTAACCCCAAACGATTGTCAACCGAGGGCAGACGCTGGTCCCACGTAGTTAGTTGTCAGGAACACTCGTTCCTTCGGGCTGTCCCAGCTAAAACTTCGCTAACCAGTGGTCAACACAGACAGCTCACTCCGCTCCACCCTTCAAACTGCTCAACTTAACCGTCGTCAATCGCACATTTCTGATTACTTTTACTGTACTGTATTTCATTTTAGATTTTATATGTATTATTTTTTTGCATTTCCGACTTACGACCTGGATTTGTATCCCTAACCCCATCGTAAGTTCGGGAGTAGCTGTAATCAGAAAAAATAAAAAATGTGAGTCTATACCTCAAGTCTGTGCTTTATTTATTAACTCTTTCACCGCGTGTCACACACTTGCCATTTTTTTCTGGCTACCGCCAAATGATTTTATTCAGCTTAGGGTAACCTTGAATAGTCTGGAAAATGTCCATTTTTTCCATTAAGCTTTCCATTATCTTTACCTCACTTTTCACATCACCAGCAACCCATTTACACTCACCTTATCGTAATCTGCAGCAGAGTCGACTGCTTTATTGTCACTCACTTGGAAAGACTGAGCGGGCGAGCGTGAATGTGTGAGTGAGCAGCCACAGTGGCACCTCTGGTGAGCAAACAACACATTTGTTTGCCATGGCGGTACATTTGAAATATTTCCTACCCGATTTCCCTTGCAAAATAAATTTTTTATCGCTATTTATAGGAAAATTTTGATAATTTTAGTAGCACTACTTTTTCTCTGTGCTCTCATTTGCATTGTGTGTTTATCACGTACCCTGAAGTACTCATTTGTACTCAAATTTACTACACTAAAGGACTAAAACTTTTGGAATTGCTTCTTTGGGAGGCTTCTTAGGCCAGAAGCCCCAATTTTTTTCCAAATCTTCCAAAATCCGGATTTACCAGGTCCGGATCTTCGAGGGTTTACTGTAATAATATGATTATTGTGTATTTTATTATTACAATTATTTTGGAGTAAATGCATTTTATAATTCTTGACTCAGTGGATTGTCTTAAACAAAAACGCCATCAACTACTATACACTCTGGAAGCTATCATTTGCGGTAAACCTCAAAGCTATTAACTCAGTTACGAATAAAATGCTTATTATTATTATTTTATGAAAGTAATTCATCCCACTGAAAGAAGTACTTAATATTTACCAAATATCCATTTCATATGGTCTCCAAATGTCTCCAAAATTGGTAAAATTTCACCTTTTTATTGTGGGAGCGGGCTAACAGTGCCCACCCGCCCACCCCCCTCCCCTTTTTTACTGAAATTCTGTCAACCGGATGCGCCCCTGCCACCAATTTACTACCAACTGGGTGATTAACCAATGGTAATCACTGCAGTAACATGAAAATATAGTTTTAAAGTACTGTAGATTCTATTATGAAGGACTGTGCACCAAGAAGTCTACGCACGCACGCACTCACACACGCATAAATTATCTATAAAATCAGGAAACCATGTGAGAAGTGACTGAGGAAATGACATAGTGTGGGGCCCCCTTTTATAGCCTGCAGTACTAAGACTACTTAACTCTCAGCTCCTCCTTCAGGCAACTGTTTCATCAGTTCTACCCAATATTCGTAGGGGTTGTAGATGAACTGGGAGATCCTATCTCTAGTTTCCCAGTCATGAAACAGGAGTACATTAAACCTACTAATAAGTATGTCTCTTGAGACTATTAACTCATAATTATTTGTGTATCCATGCTGCCAGTTATTCATCCATAGGTATCTTATTTCATTGGAGTACAAAAGGAAAAATTTATGCAATCCTACTTACGAAAACGGCCATTTTCCTGGTAATTTGGGAAAGTTGAAATCCATGAACTCCCTCTTTAGGTTATTGTGGAGATTGGAGAATTCTCTATATCTGCGAGCACACAGGTGACGCCCAGCCATGTAAATATTGAACACCACATATTTATCTCCACCAGATTCAATGTAAGAGTAGTCTGGGATTGATATTGGAAGGGAACGTTTTTCACTGTAGTCGATATAGGAAAATCCTGAGGTTTCTTCACTTGGTTCTAACCTCTCGGCTTCCTGTAAGAAGAGTACAAAAATTAGATTAAACTGTTTTCTTAGATTATATTTATTCCTATTAGCTGCTAGAGACTGCCAAAGTTCCCAGCTGCATCAACTACAAACCATGAGATCAAATCCCTGGCTTACTAGTTAATACAGAGGAACTTTCTACAATGACACTCCATTCAATATCACATTTCAAGTCAATCAGGCATCCGGTTCAAAAGATGATAATTCTTGGATGCATAGATACTTGCCCCCCCATCCCTATCTCTTCTGTGAACTATTGTAGTTGTGTATTGTATTACAGATTGACCACCAATTTTCCGGCAATCACTGGTCTGGAGCCTCCGATGTTCCAGACAGTTTTACGGAGGTAGAATTTCAAATTTATTGCGTATTTATGGTGAATAGCTACAAGAGACATGCTCATGGTAGGCTTTCGTTGTCTGTTTGTGAGGTGTTATGGTTATTTTTGAACTCGTATTTTCCGGTAGATATACATGACTTTATTTACTTTTTATTCAGTTACATGCAATCTTACATACAGAATGAACAAAAACAAATTTATCATAAAGTAAAAAAACATAAAAGGAAATAAACTTTCTTTGTGTGTTAAGAGTTCACGCTAAATAGGGGAGGGTGGAGCAAGGGATTTTGACTGCCTCTCGTGTGTAGACAAATTTCGTTGTCCAGCAACAAAATGCGAATAGAGTATTTTTTCATATTATTTTATTTATTAATACTATTTACTTTATTCCTCACATTTAATGGTACAGGCGGTCTCCGACTTACAACGGGGTTAGGGACCCAAATCCAGGTCGTAAGTCGAATTGGTCCCAAGTCGAAAATGCGGAAATAATACATAAAAAATCTAAAATGGGTGTCTCTTTTTCTTCTCAGCACCACAAAACTCTCACTTTTAAGCTTGCCAGCCATTTTAAAGGGAATTACAAACAAAAATTTTGTCAGTACACAGCTCAATCACTAACGTCAGGACTCGAAAATATGTAATTTGAACAAATTTTGGTACGACTGGGACAGTCGTATGTCCGGGTGGTCGTAAAGCGAGTAGGTCGTAAGTCGAGGAGTACCTGTATACAGTATATTATTGTAAGAGGTTTATATTCCAGTCCAGTGATTGTTAGAACTCTGTTGTTCAGTTTCGAGTTTGTTCTCTGTATCTGAAGCAGGTGTTGCTCATGGGTAGTTCGAACCGAGTCTTAGTGCAGGGTGTAACCATATGGTTGTCATTTGGCTCCCGTTCTCTGACCCAGTTGGTCACCTGCTATCTGTGAGTATTCCATATTGCATTATTTATAATCATTTGTGGTTAATGGTTCCTATGGTGTTATTTGTGTTTTAAAGGTGCCTTGTGTAATCTGTTTGTTAATTACAGTCATTCCTTGGTTATCACGCTTAATTGGGACAGCGCCGAGTGCGTGATAACGTAAAACGCAATAACCAAGTGCGCTATAACCAAGGGATGACTGTACTATGTACAGCTTCTCCCCAACTTACGAAGGGGTTAGAGACCCAAATCCAGGTCGTAAGTCGAAATGGTCCCAAGTCGAAAATGCTTAAACAATACTGTACATAGAAAATCTAAAATGGGTGCTCCATCAGATAGCTGTCGTCCACCAGTCTAGTAAAGCCAGTCCATGTGAGTGGCTGCAGCAGGTGCTGATGGTCCTGCAACTGACCTAAAATGTCCTCCTCAAACTCCCTGTCGAAGCCTCATTCTCATGTTCATTAATGGTAAAGATCTTCCATAAATATCGCCAAAGTAATTGTTCTTGGTTTTCCTCCTCAATACTTTCACGTTGTTTTGGTCGAGCAGGTAAGGGACCGAGTTAGAGGTGGAACCCGGAACCCATCAGTCGCTTGATCCCTTTCCAGAAGGCAGCAGAATCGCGGTAGTTGTTGGCTGCCTCCCATACGAAGACGGTCCACTTTTGTTCATGTAGACATTTGCCCTCGTGCTGGATGTCAGTCTATAGCTCTCGGTACCGGTCTCTCAGCTCTTGCGTCCACCCGCGGATACTGGCTAGCTATCTCACATGATCGTATTGGACACCGAGCTGCCTCAGCTGGTGACTAGTGTGAGGGTGGGGAATGGTCCTGTGGGTGGTGGTAGGGATGTTGTTGTCTATCTCCGTCCTCACATCAGTGTACCATTGTTCGACCGCGTCATCGATGTCATTGGGACTGGCCTCTTCCAGGTTTCTCCCCAGCTTGAGACTGAGAGATTCCTTGAAGGAGTCCCAGTCTGCCCATTTGAGATTTGATCTGATGTTGGCGGGGATCATAATGGGATTGGACGAGAGCGTCACAACGACTGGCAGGTGATCGCTGGTACTGATGGGTCCGGTGGTAACGTGCCTGTTCAGGACGGCCTCATTGTTAGAGAGGATTATATAGGGTGTTGTGGCACTGGCACATCTGATCAGTGTTGGGAAATCTGACCCGAGGTGTTGCAGTTTTCCCTTCTGATGGTGCCAAACAACGCCACACTGACGTTGTTCTCATTACTGTGTCCAAGGATGGCGTGCCACGTATAAGTCCCCAATGATTTATGTTGGTTTTCTGTGGCGCAGCAACTGATTGAGGTTTTGTTCGGGTAAATAAGGACTTCTAGGAGGTAGGTACATTGTGCATATAACAGGTCCCCTGGTGGTCGCCACCTGCACTCCTAGAACTGAATCCTCGAAGTCTAGCAACACTGTGACTCAGCCGTGACCTGATGGCCACAGCGACACTCGTCATGTTCCTCTGGTATAGAGTGTAGCCAAAAAATTTCCAGTTTACTTTCGTCTTATATGCCGGTACTGTTAAGCAGAATAATGTATGGGTCTAATTGATAGCATAAGTTAGACAGTTCATTATGCCTATTAAGGGACCAGTGCAGGACATTATGCTGAAAAAATTTCATCCTGTTAACGACTGCCATTTCAGAGACTGTAGCTTGGGTGTCACTTGGAGTGTTTACTCGGCTTCTGCCATTTCTAGGGGGCCGGAACTTCTTAGCAGAACCTTCAAACATCTGCTTATCAGCTAATGGCAGGCCTTCGAACTTCCCATCACCTGTGTACAGGAAGATATTCAAGTCCTGGGCCAGCGTGTCGAAGTCATCTATTGACGCTGCAGCTCGAGGGTCTTGTTCCTGTGTGGAGTAAGTCGCCATCACCTGGTCGCAACCATTGACTATAGTTGCAGTCCGATGGTAGCTGTGAGTACATTATGGAGAGAGGATCTTTTCTTAAAAATTTCTCCAAACACCCTTTACTGGCACTAAAAGTTGGTTCAGTTGCCCCTTTACCACCTGTTGACTCGTAAAAATGGGCATGAAGACTCTTAACCTACTCACGAATCACGTTGCTGTCGATCGGCACATTTTTGCGGTGCTGGTCCTCATTCCAAATGTTCAGTGCTTTTTCTGTTTTCACAATGTTCTTGTCACGAACAACCTGTGCCACTTTAACACTTGCAGGAGCACTTGCTTTAACAGAATCACGAATTGCTTGATCATTCTTTCTTATATACCGCACAGTGGATTCATTCACACTAAACCAGCCGCAGCAGCACTTATCCCCTCCTTTAAATTGTCTAATAATTCAACTTTCTTTGCCAGGGTCATCAGTGAATTCTGCCTTTTACATTTCACTTCACTAGCATCACTAGCACTGACACTAGACAGTCTTTTAGGGGCCATTTTCACACAGAAACAATAAATTTTTGAGAGTACAACAAGAGATGCCGCATCACAGGCAATGGTTGAACGAGGGCGCATGGGGTAACTCGTTGCGCTGCGGGAAAAGGCTCGCAAGCTAGCCACCATCTGCTTATCGCAAATCTTCGAAATCGCACATACATATATACAATACAGGGAAAAGAAATAATTGTCCTAAGGGCAAACACAAAGGGAATACACATTTCTTTGCACAAGAGTAAAATTGCCCCCCCTCTCCCCCATCAGGAAATGTTATTCAGAGATTTGGCTATTCACAGCCACTTTGAGAGCCTAATCCATGCAAATTTTAAGGACATGCTGTATATATAGTATATATTTACATATATATATACTGTATGTGAAACTTTAAACTTTACCTTTCTAGATACAGAGATCACAGTCAGCTTTAGCACATCGCCTCCTTGTTTTATGAGCTCAACAACATAACGATGTTCAGCACCCTCAACATTCACTCCATTTCTGAAAGATGGTTTGAAGAATAAATGTTTATTATTAATACAATATCTTAGAAAATTAAGTGCAAACAAATACAAGGACACTAAGAGTCACAAATCATTTTAAAATCGTAATCATGAACCACAAAACCTGTTATGTCTGTTATCATTGCATAGCCACTGCTTCACATGGCTGTGAGGCCACTGGACCTCAAGTACAGTAATCTCCTCATTAGCCGTAATCTTTGGTCCCCCGATCTTTTTAAAAGCCGGAATGAATTTTGAGCCTCCCGGGAAATTCCAGGAAAACTCGCTCCATTCAGGGCACAAGAATGAGTTTCCGAGGAGAAAATTTCTCCATTCTGAGCACGGGAACAAATTTTCCAGGAGTTTTGAGAGATTGCATCATGCTCCGATGTACAGTCAGTCCCCGACTTACGACGGGGTTAGGGACCGACGACCAGGTCGTAAGTCGAATTGGTCGTAACTCGAAAATGCGAAAATAATACATAGAAAATCTAAAATGGGTGTCTCTTTTTCTTCTCAGCACCACGAGAGATCTCACTTTTACGCTTGCCAGCCATTTTAAATGGAATTACAAACAAAAATTTTGTCGGTACACAGCGCGATCACTAACGTCGGGACTCGAAAATACGTAATTTGAAAAATATTTCATACGACTGCGGCAGCCGTATGTCCGGGTGGTCGTAAGTTGAGTACCGTAGGTCGTAAGTCAAGGAGTACCTGTACCCACTGACAAATTTATAATTTGTCTGCAATTTGTAAAATTTCAAGTAAAATCTCTGACATTATTTGCGTTCCACGGGTGTGAGAAGTGCTGTGCAATATATGGCCGATATTAGAGAATGACTCGAGTAAGGCCAGGCCTTCTGGTGTGGGTTCAGGAGCCCATTATTCTTGAGCGTGTGTTTAGTGATGCCAGTGCTCATGTGGAAACCCCAGTAATTCTTGGTGATAGTGATTTTGGTAGTGAATTTAGTGTTGATTATGGTGATACAAGTGTTACTGACGATGGTGCAGGTGATGTGCATGAGAATGTTGGCGAGACATCCGCTTGTACAAACTCAATGCGACTGTGATGAAACAGATACAGAATAGGATGATGATAATGAGCCACAACAGGATGAAAGTGAGCTCTTATTGACAGTAACACTGTGATTGCAGAAAAAAACAATACTGTACATCATTTTATGAACCATCGGAAGATCTTTTTAGAGATTAAGATGACTCACCTGTCGACAATGAAAATGACTCACAGCATGGTGAAAGTGATTATCATAATGACTAACACTTTGAATGCACAGAATAACTTTTTAGCCGCTATGAAGCATCCGAAGATCTTTTTGCTGACTATGACGAGTTAAAAGACAATGTGGCACGCATTGACAATGATAACGACGGTGAAAGTGAACTTGAAATAGATGAAACTGAGTACAGCATACTGTACTCAAAATACAAAAAGTGACTGCTATGCATAACAAGACCTTTTTGCAACCTGTGTGTTCTGGTACAGAGTTACATGACGTGTACCGACGACAATATTGACAATGAAAGTGAAGATGAAAATGATGAAAGTGAGTCTAATGGTAACACAAACAGTGACACTAATGTATCATAACAAGAACATACAGACTGTGAGGAGGTAGAAGTGGACAGTGATGAATGCTTGTGAAAGTGAGCCTGACCCAACGAATGCTAGTGAAAGTGAGCCCATAACTCCGTCTTATAATGAAACTGAACTGTTACCGGCATCAATAATCAATGATTTAGTTCATGAAGAATCTGTGTGGCAATTTTTAGAGAGTGCAGAGAAAGACTTCGATCAGTACGTCATTGAATATGATGAGGCCATTAAAGTTATACACACTCCTCAGGATTTACGTAACTTCAAGTTACTACCTTGTTGTGTTGGCGACAGCTTCTACACCTTAAAACAAATTCACACTTAAGTGGCACTAGGGCCGACCATCCTCGATCTCAAGGGGCATCCATTATTTTTATTATATAGAAGGAGACGGTTAGCACCCAAAGGAGTTTATAGAATTTGTTCATGTTTTTCACAGGTGTTGTTCGGATGATAGCAAGTAATAAAAATGATAGAACAAATTTTTCTTTTTTTTTCTTGATTTTCGATCAAAAATCACCTGTAGTGGGAATTTACGGAGAAAAAGAAGGCAAAAAATTATCATATGGCAGTAATTTCATGTCTTACGTGCGTTGTAGAAGAAGAAAGAAATTTTTTACCATAAATATTCCACCACCAATTCTCCCGTCTGCTCTTAAACTATAAAGTAGTGAACACAATCTTTTAAAACATATAAAAATAATGAACCTTGCATCAGGGGTTTTATTACCATAAATATTGGCTTGGTTGTCGTTTGTTTTCAATTTTATAGGCTTCACTTTCCTGGGTTTTTTGTTTACGGCCTCCGCTAATCCATTTTTCTTTCGTGCATATGGTTTTGAACCTCTTCTATATATAAAGTATGAGATTCGTAAAGTTAGATTTGAATCCCATAACGTGGTTTTGGATAAATTTCCAAATTCTTTCAAGTATCATTGGAGCTAAGTAAACAGTCTGTTCATATACCGCTGTACTTGTTCTTCTTCTTTAAGGAGAAGCAAGCTATGTTGTTTTTCAATGACGTAGTTATGGCGTCCTGTTCAGTATCGCATTGCAAGTTATCTGCACTTGTGGAGGATCAAGACTGTCTGTAAGATTTCATCTGTCAACATGTACTAGTTAGAAAGACATGCAAGTGTTCAATTTGTTACTTAGATTTTTTTACCTTGCATTATTAGATTTTGCTTTTATCCTTTTCACCACTGATCGGCTCGTTAGCCGAATGGCGATCAGTCACGTCTCTGATTACTTTTAAGCCTTAATTTTAATTCAGCGACATATAACTTAAGCTGTTGCATCGCCAGGGATGTAATTTCCACAATTAATCAAAAGAACTAATGTTATTTAGGTTAATATTTATTAGTTGCCAACACCCACTTATAGTACATCGATAAATTAAAATTTATCAAGTATTTTAACCAATAAAATGAACAACAATATTAGTTGTTCAAAATGGGCAGGGCTTTGAAGTAGACAGACAATGTTGGGTAAAATACTAAAAAGAACACCCAAACAAACTTTTTAAAAATCTTACCAAATCTTTCTAAACTTGTAAAAATGTTATGAATCGCATTTTCTAGTTTATGGGTCCCTCTCATCTGAACATCAAAAGTACCACCATCACACACTAAACACCGAAAACAACACCTTAACATATTAAACACGAATAAGTTACGCTTTTTATAATTTTAGGATTCTTACAGCTTAGAAAAGGTAAGGTAAGGTTTTCAAACACTTGTTTGTTGTGTTTTTTTTCAGTATTTTACCCCACTTGTTCAATCTACTTCAAAGTTCTGCCCACTTTTAAAAAGTAATACAAGTACTATATTGTTACTAATTTTATCAGTTGCAATACTTGAAAAATATAAATTTCCGACAAAAACGCTATTGAATAAATTATTTATATTTTTTTCTCTTTCTCCCTATACAAGACTCAATACATAAGTAGTTGCCAACACCTACTGAATATTTACCATTATTTGTTTCAGTCTAACAAATGCTCATACTCTTACGTCCAGAGAAGACATAAAATTACCCAATGCTGCTTCAAGAAAAGTGCTTTCATTGGTACATGATTTCAAAGTACTGTAAATTCTTTCTGCTTTATATGCCAAGGGGTCCAGGGAGCAGAGCTCCCTTAGGTTAGGAAGTTAGGTAAGGTTGGGTAGGTTTGGTTAGGTTGGGATAAAATTGCAGATTATAACAACCAAAGAGTCTGATACAAAATTTTGTTTTTCTGATGTTTTTTGATGCGATTTGGTTCAAATCTGACATTTGTTTATGATTTACCCCCCCCCCCTCCCTCTAACAATAATGGGGGAAAGCGTGGGAATTCGGGGTTCTGGGTGAGAAGAGCCAAAACGAGTGATTTGTGGTAGAAGCAAATTCCAAAAGTGTCCGAATCGCAACAAGAAAACATCAGAACACATGACACAACAGAAATTCTGTTATTTACAAAAAAATAATAGAAATAATAGTTCTATCGATTGAGTGTTCTGAATTCCCGGTACTCTGGGATTGCTAACTTATACAATACTGCATAACCAAACTAAACCTTACCTAATCCCCTAGCCTGGGGCTCCGCCCCTGGAACCCCGGTGGCCCTAGCCAGGGGCTTTGCCCCCGGACCTCCAGATGCTATGTAATAACCCAGAGTCGCGTGGTCAGCCTCCACGAGAATATAAATAGCCGTTACAGTATTTCTTACCTTACTCTGATTCAGGGTCTCTGATTTTATTCTTTTTAAAATTCAATAACTTCCTTATTATCAATTTGTGACGGAAGTGTAACATAAGAAAATTATCACAGAAAAAATAGTTCTATCGATTGAGTGTAGTGAATTTCCGGAATTCTGTGGTTGCTGTTTACTGCAATATTACCTAGGTTGCTTAGGTTCTGTGCATTGTCCTAAATAACCTCTCCAGAAATTTTGGTGCAATTCCCTAAGTTATTTCTGGCGCTAAACATCTCCACCACCACTACTGTTTTGCTAAGTATAATTTCTACTAAGTCACAATTCTTAGGTTCCCACTATTTAAACCTATCATCTCCACAAAACATACACACAACCTTTTTTTCTGATACATTAATATGGTTACATGTCCCTTGAATTACAACCTTTACTTAACTTTTGTCGTAAATTAACCAGACTATCTAAGACTTACTTGCCTATATTCCAAAGACATGTCATATCATACCTATAACCACTTATCACTAATGGATAAAATAAACATGTTGAGCTCACTATACAACACCTGGCATATCGTTTGAACCCCTATGAAAAAAATTCCATAGCTATTTAATCAATTGCCCGTCCATGGTAATAAAATGAAGAGTTTAGCAACAATTAAACATTACTTACACTTCCAAGATACGATCGCCCTTCCGTATACCAGCTTGCTCTGCCGCCCCTCCTTCTAACACCGCTGAGACATGCTGAAGAGGAGGATATAACTCCCCATTGATAGGTCTCCACTGACCTCCTTCGCTTACTTGACCTCTTACATTGAACCCAAACCCTGTATCAGTTTTGTAGATGGTCACAACGCGTGGACCAGGGTTAAAGCCGCTCATTGTAGATCTGTACCCTTCCTTCCCTGTGGTTTGTTTTCACTGTCCTGTCTCTACCATGATACCTGTAAGCTCTTGAGCTAGTTACTTTACATTCACGAAGTAATTATAGATATATTTTCGTTTATATAAGAAGTTGTATTAAATCTATGATGTATTATTATATATATATTTAATTACGCAAATCATTATGACATCGTTATTTGTATCGCAGAAAAGATAAATAACTTTATCATAAAATCTCAAAGGTAAAGTCTCTGCGCATAAGAGTAGAACGAGTCTTGCTCTCTGTATCAGACGAATTCCATAGTGGCGGGAAGCAAGTGGGTGTTATTATACATTCAAATAGTTTAACTTCCAAAAAAGGGTTTTACACACACACACACACACACACACACACACACACACACACACACACACACACACACATATATATATATATATATATGTGTGTGTGTGTGTGTGTGTGTGTGTGTGTGTGTGGAAAAAAAATATAGATAGATGGATGAAAATTAGAATAAACTGATAGATAGATTTTCTGTAGATGGATAGGTTTATTGGGTGATGAGGGAATTTTTTTTTATAGCCCACAAGCACCTTCACACTATTACACATATTCTCTCACATTTCTTCTCTTATTTTGTCTCTATCTCTCCCTGTTTGTCTCTTTTTCTTTCCCCCTCTCCTCCTTATTGTCTTCTGTCTCCCTTACCCGTTTACTTCCCACCCTCCTCCTCCTCTTCTCACCCTCTCTCCTGCTCACTTAATTTTCAGCTCTCCAAATGGGACCTTTTTCCTCCTCCCCTTCCTCTTTTTTTCTCATCTTCTCCTTCCCTGCCTTCTTCTTCTTCTAGTATCCATCTTTGTACTCTCTCTCTCTCTCTCTCTCCATGTATTGCCTTATCCCCTCATTGCTTAACACACGAGAGGAGGAAGGAAGTAAGGGAGATAGGAAGAGATGGGGAAGAGGAGAGGAGGGCATACTTTTAATTTTTACTTTTATCCTCTTCACCACTGATCGGCTCGTTAGCCGCTTGGGCGATCGGTCACGTCTCTGATTACTTTTCCTTTTCATTTATCCTCTTCACCAAAAGATCGGTTCGCTAGCCGCCCGGGCGATCGGTCACGTCTCTGTCACGCACTGTTGGTCAGTACTGGGCATGCACCGGCTCCTGAATGTACTACACTCTCTGGTTGGGCTTTGGATTGAGGCGATAAGGGGCATGCCATATTGGATAGGCTCCTCGGGTGTCCACGTCATGTTGCAGTAAGGGGGGGGGGGAGAGATGAGGTGCATCTCCATAGATGTCCTGATGCTCCTGGGGTGATCTGCTTGGGCCATTATGGGTCTAAATTTACGCATGGGCAGGCCAGACTTAAGGTAAAAACAAATAGGGAAGTTATCCAAATCAGACTCACCAATAAGGTGATCGTAGTGCCGTTTCAAATTGGAATCACGATACTGCTCTTGAATGAGTTTAGCTCTAGTGATGGGAGAATCCCTACAGGTGATGACATTAGGACTGGAAGTATCGTTGAACCTGATAGTGAGGAATTGAACTCGTGAGGGGTCTCATTAAAGAAATTCCTGAGCTAATAACCCTTCCAGAGGACATCTTGACTATCACAAGGCTCATCGACTTGTTTAGGTACACGATTAATTGAATTTTCCTTTGTTACATGGGTCTCCTGCACCTTACAGCTCACACTGCGAGTGATCATACAAGCAGGAAAAGGCTTCGGAAATTTACTCTCTAACCCCTGAGTGTCATTCTCACAAGTGGGTCTGGTGGAGACTACAGGGCAATATGAAACTTGGTCTCCGGCAAGATAATTGCTCATAAGAATGAGATACCAGCGACTAGTAGACTGTCGACTACTGCTCAGCTCACAATCGGAGACCAGGGATGGCCCGACTGGTGGGGGCACCCCTTCCAATGATTGGTTTCGAGTTGGTCAAGTTGCCAGAAGTTGGTCAAAATTACTGTACCTAAAAAAATCAGGGAAATGGTCAAAAAAGGCCACACTCTTACCCTCTCCCTGAGCCGCAGGAGGAATGGGAGTCAATTTGGAATTTTTTTGAATTGATACACTCTAGTGCACTCTAAAGTTAGCCCGCGGGAATTAGACTACGCGAAGAGCCAGATGAGGTGACGTTGCGCCCAAGTCCTTGCAGTCAAACCCATACCAAACTAACACATAGCACCTGTTAGCTGCCATCATCCTGGTGAGTGCGACTCCAACCTGCTCGAGGCCTAGTGGCACAGCGCCTCCTCCCTCCCTGGGACAATGGCACGTCACGAGGTGTGAGTGGGCCTTACTGGCAGCGCTTATGGCAGTTACAAACAGGTTTACGGATTTTGCACCAATATTGGTAGGTTTGATCAACATGTGACAAGTTCCACATAATAAAGATTTTATACAATATTAGTGAAAACTGGCCAAGTACAGTACTTGTATTGCCATGGCAATGGCTCGCGCAATGATAACACATGGTTTTCAAGTGTTAAATAAATGATGATAGGAGAGTCTCCAGCAGTGTCTACATTGATTACCAGTAACAGCGTCACTGTTCCGATATTTATCCTGCCATAGTAACGTTTTGTGGCAGGGTTTTCATATGCTCGGGTTATGAGTAATTTCGCTTTTTTATACTGTTACTGGATTTAATATGGTTAGAAAATTTGTTCCAGTCTTCTTTACCTACAAAAAAGAACGTTTATTGTTTGAATGCGGACACCTGGTACCATAAAATTATGTTATAAATCAATAAATCAATTACTTGTCAGTGAGGAAGCGTTTTCATATTTGGTTACTTGGAGTTAATCCATAATTCATTTTCTGTCTTGAGATCACCAAAGAAAATGAATGTGTGGGGCGACTTGTTTAAATTAGATATCAGATAAGGAATGCTAAAAAAAATTTATTTCTTAAAAATATGACGATTATAAAACAATATCAATGCACTGTCTGCTTTTTTGGACAATCCCTAGCCATTAAAAAAACAATGGAATAACTTTATCATAAAAGTGATATAAATTGTCCTTTTCTTGTGTTCAACGCAGCCAATGCATGCAGCTGCCTTGCTTATACTGTAGGCGGGCAATGAGTGATTTAATGGAAGTCTATAATTACCTTAGAGGACATTACAGTAATCTGTCGAGTGGTTATACCAGGAACTGGCGAATGCCCGTCCCACTAGCAGCCACAAGTTCAGAAAACTGTCAGGGCAGTTGATACTTATTGTTTTTACTTAACTTTCTAGTCAGCTTTATATACTTAAATATATATATATATATATATATATATATATATATATATATATATATATATATATATATATATATATATATATATATATATATATATATATATATATATATATATATATATATATATATATATATATAGATCCACAATGAAAACGTGGACAAGATAAATCTTGATAAAATCACACGGAAAAGGGAAACAACGGAGCACCTTAGCTTTCGTCTTTGTTCAAGACATCTTCAGAGGCAACTGGATTACATGGACAGAGAGAGGCTTAAATATACAGGGTGACCCATGGCAAGGTAGTAAGACTTGTGACAAATTTCTTATGAATTTCTTTCAGCCACATTTAAGAATTTGTGTAGCCAAATTTCTCAGATCTTGTAATATTTGTCAGCGTCCAGGTAAACCTAACCAGAAAATTCCCCCTGTACCTTTGAAACCCATTCCTATAGTAAATGAGCCTTTTGAGATAATTATAATAAATTGCATAGGTCCTCTGCCTAAAACCAGGAAAAGCCGCCAAAGTCTGTTAACTGTGATGTGTACCACTACCAGATATCCAGAAGCAATTCCTTTGAGTAAAATAAAGTCCAAAACCCTTGTTAAGGTTCTCTGGCAAATGTTCACCAAACATGGTATTCCCCGCATTGTTCAGTCTGACCGAGAGACTAATTTCACTTCAAAATTATTTCGTTAAGTAATGGAAGAGTTTGGTGAAACACAATACTTGTCAATCGCTTATCACCCGGAATCTCAAGGAGCCCCGTTAAAATTTTATCAGACTTTTAAATCCTTATTAAGAGCTTACTGTCTAGAGAATGAGAATGAGAATGGCTGGAATGAAGGCATTGATTTTGTTATTTTTGCTATACGGGAGAGTAAAAGCGTGTCATTGGGATTTAGCCCATTTCATTTGTTGTTTGGACGAGAGGTAAGAGATCCATTAAGGGTTTTAAAATAAACATTAATTAAAAGTAAACTATTTTCACTTATCCAATTAAGTACGTAAATGATTTTATGACAAAACTTTAAAAAATTATGATTTTGTCAAGAAACACCTTAAATATTATCAAGCACACATGAAAGAAAATTATGACTTAAAATCTGCTCACAGGACCTTTAGTCCTCGTGATAAAGTTCTTGCCTTCTTGAGAAATCAGTCAAACCTTTTACAGACAATATTTACTGGACCTTACACTGTCCAGACGAGAGTAAATGATCTAAATTATATTATTAACACCTCAGGTAGAAGGAAATCTTCCAGACTTGTACATACAGAATAAATCTACTTAAAGCTTATCATTCCAGAGTCAATGAGTCAGACCTGAGAGTAAACCACGAGTCGAAACACACTACCAAACTATCTCCTCCTGATCCTATGACTGTTCCAAAAGATTCCCTTCATCTCGAGAATTCTATAATATATCAACACTTAACTTCTTACTTGACATACTTGCCTGTAGAACAATGTAGCCAATTGATAGATTCACTAAGACTGTTTCCTCAAATCTGTACAGCTATGCCTGGTGTGTGTAACCTGATGATGCACGACATCAAGTTAATTGAAGGGGCTCAACCTATAAAACAAGTCCCTTACAGAGTCAGTCCCCAGAAGAAATAATGTATGAGGAAGGCCTTGGAGTACCTGGAGGACAACAACCTCATCGAGTCGAGTGACAGTCCATGGGCCTCCCCAAGTCTGCTAGTCCTGAAGGCCGTGAATCGCCTCACGGTTAACGACTTCTTCCCACTACCTCATCCGAATGACACCATCGACACCAGTAG